GGAGCACGAGCGGCCAATTCGCGGCGCTCCCGGGGCGGGCGCTTACCATGCGCCAGGGCCGGCTCTGGCACAGCGCATGCACCACGTGCCCAGGGCCAGGCCAGCCCCGAGCACTTGGCAGGCGCACAAAAATGGCACCGTGTTGGGGACCACTGTATTAACAGGTATCAATCCAGTTTTTTAAGAATGTGTGTCACAAAAGCCATCATTAACAGTCACCCTATTTGGCAATCTCAGCACAGGCACCCAGGTCTGAATAAGCCATGGAGACCCTCAATGTTAAAGGTGATATCCCTGCAAGTAGAAGTATACAGGCAAAAAAGGGAAGGGAGAGTTTGCATTGCTGCTGCACCGGCTATGCTAGTGAGGGCTTTAGGCTCCGGGGCTCTCATTCCATCCCAGTACCAAACTCACTTTAAATACATTTAATAACATTTTTACCAGTATTAGGGTTTTGCACCAGAAGCTTTGTGAATACTATTTCCTGCCCTCGCTTTGTTTGCGATGGATCAGAACTTTTTATCAAGCAGAAGGGGCTCTGAAAAATTCCTCACCCCTTACTCTCTCGCACACCAAATGAAAACTAGCTAGCTAGTTCATTTATTCATCTAATTTCTTAGAGTAACTAAGGCATCATACAGCCAAGACAACAGACTTCAAACACAGTACAGGAGAACAGCATTTTCATCTGACCGTTATGAAACGGCTCCAAAGGGCCAGGCTGCTGTGTTCTTCCCAACAAGAACACAAACAAAACCAACTGACACTTTCTAGCACTAAGTCTCCAGCAGGGGTGGCCAAAATGCAGCTATGAGCCATAGGTGGCTCTTACAGACAAAGTGAGGCTTGCCGAGCTCCTGATACTCCCCATTCTCCACTTAGTAGGCTGGGGACGAGGAGGAAGAGAGACTCTGGAGCTTCAGCAGGCTGTGATCAGGAGGAGGGGGCAGGGCTATGGGCTTCTGCCAGAGATGACAGATGCCTGCTGAAAGGAGGAGGGGTGGCCACAATTTAAAGTTCAGACCCTGCAACAGCTTGAGCCACACACCCCTTACCCTCAGTGGCCTTACCCTTCCTGCAGGTGTTAGCAGCTCTCCCAAGTGTTAGTACATGGGCAGGCATCAGCCATCAGATGGGAGCTGCAGGGAGGGGCTGCTGCTGCTGCTTCACCTCTCCAGGGACAGGTAGCAGCTTTAGCTTCTCACAGCTACAGCTCCCAAACTGATGGTTCCAGCAGCTGCTGTGCACGGAGTGGGGCCAGCAAACCCCGGCAAAAACTAGGGGAATGGGGGAAAAACATATGACCCCATGTGTTCCTCCCATGCATCACCTCTGGCTTCAGCCCAGTGCATAGGCAGATCTTGGAACTTCACAGGAGGTACCTGCCAGGACTCAGGGCTGAAGGGCTGCTCCTCTTGAAACCCCGAACCCTGGCAGGCACCTACCACAGCACTGAGGCCCCGAGATCCCCTCCTTGTGTGGGCTGAAAATCCAAGACCCAGCAGTCGTGGGTTCAATCAGATTCCATTGGAACAACGGTCACAGGATGCCTTGCTCCCACATCTATAGAGGATTTGGAAGCTGAGGGATGAAACCTTGTCTAGGACTCAGTATTCTTCAGGAAACCAGTGCATCAAGCAGAGCACTGCAAGGTAATTAAGCTCTCCAGACCTGGGCTATTCAATAGATGGACTGTTATGTTGTCAACTAGCTAGCTTTATGGTTGCCAGTTCTGTTCCTGGGTGTGGCAATGTTGAAGCCTAGAAGTCATCAATGGGTGAATCATGGTGTCAGGCATCTGAAGTCTTGTTATAGAAGAGGATTTTTTTCATGGTTGTGGCTTTGTGGATATCCAAAAGTGATGAGATGTCCAGGAGAACATGGAATTTAGGGTCACTAAGCAGACACACTCTGTGGGAAACTTCCTCTTTTCAGGATTCAACTTTAGCTGCTGCTTCTTCTTCGTATACACTGCTTAAACTAGGCCATTGGAGAAATATGGCTTAGTGCTGTTTGCATGCTACTGCCATTTCCATCCATTCTGCTTCATCTCCCCAAGGGACAGCATGCAAATGTAGATGACAGGTGAGAGGATACATCCCCAGAAGGACAAAAGAAATGAGAGGAAGGAGGTGCCCATTAGTTCTTCTCAGGATATAATCCAAAAAGAATGAATGGAGTTACTTCAGTGTGATAGTGCTGACCCCTATGCCCTCCCTGAGGAGGGAAAGCAGGATCCCTGAGCTGAAAGTATCAACAGCTGCACGAATTCATTAATAAGAGTTTGGCTAGACAGGCCTTTTCCACAGCCAAGAGGAAATCTGCAACTCTGGTGCCCCACATTATTCAATTGAACCCACTGACTGACAGCAATTTTAATAAACTTTAGGGCAGTGATGGATTGAGACAGACAAAAATAAATATTGTGGTTAAGATCCTACTAGATTCAAAATTGCACAGTCAAGACGAGCCCACCACAAAAAAATTACCTCTGAACACGGTATACTCGCGTCCATGGCGGCACGAGAGCCAGAATTCTAGCCACCAAATCCACTAAGGTGCTTGGAGAGTAACTCTTGTATCTTCCAGACTTCCAGAGCTCGTACAGGCCAGTGCCACGGATCACTAGAGTTGGGTAGAGTTTCATGCCATCAGGGCGAAAAGCAGGGTTCTCAAAAAACTCCTGGGAACACAGAGCACACATGCAAATCAGAAACCAATTACTGTACTAAGCTTGCTGGGCCTCTCTAGTGAGAATTTTAAAGAAAATCAAGTTACCACAGCAGGACAGATTTTTAAAGCACAATTATGAGTACAATGCATGTTTGTATTTAAAAGGCCAGCTTACATTCAGTTTCCAAAATCTGTATCAGTCTAAAGACTTACTCTTACATTCAGAGGATGAAACTTTTTTTTTTAATTATAAAAGATTGCTGCAGAAAAATCTACACAAGACAAGGATGCAGACCATACTAGACTCCAAACTCAAATCAATAGATATCTCAGCCATATTATCCATTGTAATAGAATTTTGCTCAGATTCACAATATCAAGGCATGTGTTTATTATCAAACTCCATGGACAACACTCAGCGATTACTCGATGTGCGCAAAATACATCAGTTGAATAGTAATATAAAAACTAACAGAAACACACGTCACCCTAAGCAATACTGAGCAATACTGGGAAAGTGAAACATACAGCACCTACTACTCACTTATCCCTGAAAGCTGAAAATACTAAAATTTCAGAAGTGGGGGGCAGGGTCACAAAAAAGGTGAGTTTTCACTCATGTGTAGAGGATGGAGGGTGAGAATGCATTTACCACAAAATATGAGCTTACTGAATTTTTGTTTTTGTTTTGCAGTTCAGCTTTAACCTTCACAAGAGTTGATAAACCTTTCAAGTGAGTATAATCCTTGCACTTCTGAGCTAGCAATGAACATAAGAATGGCCATACCGGGTCAGACCAAAGGTCTGACTAGCCCAGTGTCCTGTCTTCCAACAGTGGCCAATGCCAGATGCCCCAGAGGGAGCGAACAGAACAGGTAATTATCACATAATCCCTCTCCTGTCTTTCATTCCCAGCCTCTGATAAAACCCCCATTACTAACATCTGCCTTTTCCTAATGACTGGAGTTCCCTCCCCTGGAGAGATATCCTCAGTGAGAGAGGATACCATAACATCATCCAGAAAGAGGGTCCCACCAATGGTTTTCCTCTTTTATAATAAAAAAATGGCTAACTCAAAGCTGATTTATCCTTTTAAACTTTGGTCCTGTAACCTTAGTCTGACAGTTCTTGGGGAGGTTTTGTTTTGTTTTTAAAATCTTTTCTGTTGAGTCCCCCTGAAGTGAAAAAGTCATTTACTGAAAGAAGGCTTCAGTCAAATCTCAGTTCAGCAGAAATCCTCTTATCCCAAAGTCTCCATGAACCAAATTTTCATGATGCCCCCTCCAAAGTATGTCACATGTCAAAATTAAAAGACTTTAGGATGTCATTTAAACGGTGTCATGAAAAATGAAATAAATACTTTGTATACATATACATGGTACCAATTTTCATAATCACAAAGCACTTTACAAACAAGGCCACAAAATGTTCCACTGGGTCAGGTAAACAACACTGGACACATTTTTCAAACAGGCAATCAGACACAGAAAGATCAAATGTCTTACCCAATGCCACATACAAATCAGTGGCTTGGCCGGGAACAGAATTCTGCAGGCCCAACATGCAGAGTTATGTCCCAGTGACAGATTTCGACCCCCCAGTGGGAAGCTCAAAGGCACTCCATGTGTAAAAGAAAGTTGTCACGAAAGGAGGAATGAATAACGCTATAGCACTAGATCACTGTGCTCTGAAAAGACTCGCTCTCAGACAAAAGAATAGCATAAACATGAAAAGAAAAATAAAGACAACATAATGCTTTGTCTAGAAATTCATATTAAACCTGAAGAGGCTGAAGAGGAATATGACCAAACAGCACAAAAACAAAAGTGAAGTACTTCTGTAAGGAAGCGCCAAAAATTTCTACAATGAAACAGAAAATATAAACAACAAATCAACCACTCAATCAGTTTTTGGTGCTGCTACAGAAAAAAAGTCCTTTTTCTAATAAGGTTTGACATTAATATTCACAGCAACGTTTAAACGGATGTCAAAAGAAAGTGTGATTCCCCAATCAGAATATTTAGGAAATCATTAATTTATATTATAAATTAAATGCAAATACATTAATGCACTATTAAGGTTGAGAAATCAAGTATTCAAGGGCGAGGTCAAAAGTTATGGTTTCTAACACAGCGCTAACTCTGCTATTTTGTATCTCATATTTTTATAACACTAGATTAAACTAACAGTCATCTATTTCCCATTTATGTTACTTAACAAATATACCAGAATATGCAGCTGGTCAAAAAATGGGAATGTTTTAGATATCTTTTAAATATTATTTTTCAAAGATTTCTTCATTTTTTTTGTTATTTTAGTGAAAAATGTAACAAAAATTTCCCCTTCTTTTTCCTCCCATTCCAACCTGATTCTTCCAGTGGGGAAAAAGGATAAGAAAAAGGAAGCGAGAGAAAGCTAACACTTCATTTTTTTCCATTTAAAAAAAAAAGAAACCCAGAAAATTTTGAACAAAATATTTATTTGAGAAGTGTTTTAAAGCTTTAAAGCGACAAATTTCGTCAAGATCTACTATGAAATACCTACGTGTCCATGTACAAACTTAAAATTTACAGAGCTGAAACAATACCTTAACAAGCGGATATGATCAAAATACTGCACTATGAGATAGCACCTCACTTAAGGAGAGAGTAACATTTAGGTTGTTGCACTGATTTCAACAGGCACTGGATCAGAACCTTAAGTACCAAACTGCTTGTAAATGCCTCAGCAGTTACAAATTTAAACAATTAAAGATAACAAAGCTAGAGGAATCCAGCTGACATCCAATGTTCTAAAATCACTATAGTGATGCAGAAAAATTATTTTACATGTGCATAAATACTCCAAATACTCCAAATGGAAACATAACTTTAGAGCTAATAAATCAATTTTCTTCACACTTGATAGTTTTTCTCTTGCTAAACGCTACAAAACAGAGGTTGACGCTCCTTTCATAACTCAAAGGTTGGTGCTAGAGCAAAATTTAAATCAGAGCATTTGGGAGGGGGCATTATGTTTTCATGTTGGTATTATTTATTTTAAAACATCTCAGCTGAATCAGGCCAGCTCTTTTCAGCTATCTTTGGGTTGACAAACCTGGGATTCTTCAGCCTAAACGCATTTTTTTCCAGAAAATTATGAGCATCTGAAAAAGAGGAGATATTTAATAATTGTATTATTGTTGTGCCTAAGAGTCCTAATCATGAACCAGGATCCCACCATGCTAAGTAATGTTCAAAACATAAAACAAAAAGACAGACCCTGCCCTAGGAAACTGGTAAGCTAAGTAATGGAAATTAGAATATTTCATGTAACTATAGCATGCACACACTGCACACAAATAAAAATAACCAGAAAGACCTGCTATTCAAAACCCTGCAGCTTTATGAGGGTTCCAATAGACATGCTTTAGTTGTATGAACAGCTGCTCTGTGAATTACAAATAGAAAAATCTTAATAAAATCCCATCAGTATACACTTTCCGTGTACAAGGTTATTCAAGTTAGCCATTAAACATATTTTATGAGAACAGTAATTGATTTTATTAGCACATGCCTTTGTTGTAGAAGTTCCCCGTTATTACAGTTAATGGCATCTATAGCATCCATTCATCCACAACCTCATAAACTCACTGCCAGCATGAATAATCAGGGTCTGATTGGTGCAAAATCAGTCATTAAGATGCCACCGACTTTCCATCAATGCACAGGCATCAAAGTGGAAGCTAGAATCCTGCCTTTCGTTGGATTCCAATCAGTTGTTTTATAAACTAGTCATTATTTTGCATTAGTTTATGAAACAGCTTAGCTATTGCTTGCTATTATTGCTGTCCAACATAACAGGTGTTAGATGGAAAACAGCAGTCTGTTTAATACCAATGTGAATCAAAACAATTTTAAAAAAAGAACAAAAAAAGAACACGGGAGCTGGAGGCTGGGAAGGTAAACTACTGAACTAGAATATAAAAATAAATACGCTTTCAAATTTGGTAATCTAATTTTTGGTGGTTTTATCAGTATAATATTTCATAAACTGAAAATCTGTTTTCTACCTACGAGTCTGCTTATATGTGCACTACAAGGCTCAACCCATTTTGGCTGGGTAGACTGTATATTTATCAACTACCATCAATTAACAACATAGTAAAAGCATCCTGATTGGTTGTTAATTAACTTAGTATTTTAATATTGTATGTTACAAAAACCCACAGCAGACTCATTAAAAAGCCACTTGCACCTCCTGAGCCTCAGCATGAGTATTAGTTATCAAGTCCAATGATTCCTCCTACCCTTAAATGTCATTGAAGAGTAAATATTTTTTAAAAAATTCTGATTATGATCTTAGATCCCCATACTCAAATTTCAATTCTGACTCTACTTTAGCAGCTGCTCTTGATCCACTAGAGTTAGAGAAATATGTTAATGATACTTGAAGGCCACAATTCTGCTCCACATTGGAAGAGAAAGAAGAGTGGAGGATCAAGGGATCCACCCCCACCTTTCTGCAGAAACAGAGAACTGCCAACCATCTTTAATCTCTTGCAATGACTGTTGTCAATGCCCTTGGAAGAGATTGCTCACCGTATATATGTTGCAGTTTCCCCCCTTTTTTAGGTTTACTAAAATCCCAGCATTATTTCTAGTAGCAATACAAGTTAACAAAAAATCAAGGGAATTTTAAGATGTTTGTGCATTATAAATGAGTTTTCACTCAACCTGATTACATCAATATCCTTGAGGTGTCCATTTTATGGAGTACAATTGAATTAAAATTATGTCCTAGACTCATGAAGTTAAGATGAGCAATGTCTTAAAATTCAGTAATGCAGCATTACTGGTGGAATAATTTATAACAATAAATGTTAATACTTTAAAGCTACAACAGCTTTCAATGACTTTCTCCAATTCTACAGATGAATGAACAGTCATTTAGTGATATTACTCTATGCTCTAAATATGAAGTTTGAGACTCAGATATGGGGGATTTGTTTTATCTTTAATATTTGCAGGT